CTCAGGAATGGATTAGTTCCACAAGAGTGTGCTGTTATAAACCCAGGATGTCCTTTGACTTTTACCTCTTTGCACATCTATGTTCCCTGTGACCTCTGCCATGTTATGGTGCAGCACAAAAGCCCTCTCCAGAAGCCAGCACCGTGCCCTTGAACTTCCTGGTCCGTGGAACTGTGAGCTAAATAAATCTCTTTTCTCATAAATGTCTCAGCCTCGAGTATTCTGTTAAAGCAATACAAAATGAACTAAGACGGTATCTAATCCAATTCATTCATGTCAACATGGATTTTCACCTGTTTAAGAGAGGCCAGAGCAAAAGGGAACATTCCACACACATACACACACCCCTTACTTCTTCCTAATGACTTATTGAAGTTTGATGAAGAGTATCCAGCAACCCCCAACATTGAGTAGAAGGGGTATACAGCACAAGTCCACTGATGGGGGTCCATTGCCCTAAAGGAGCCACACTGTGGTTCCTTAGGACATCCATGCCAGCCCTTATGGTCATCACATTCTGGAAGTAGTCCCAGAGCTGAAAAGGACCACTAATTTTACTAATAAGGAAATAGGCCTGGAAATTTTGTGATCTGCTTTCCCAAGGTTGACCTGAAGCTAGAAAGCTGATGACTTCGTGGCCTCATTGGTGGCAGCAGCTGAGAAGTCCATTTAAGGCCAGAGTCCTCCCACATCGTGTGTGGCCTAGGGCACCCTCAGAGATTTTCTTAGTAATCCTAATATCAATATTTATCTAACTTTGAAAATGTATATACCCTTTAACCCAGCTGTTTTCATTCTGAAACACAACTCCAGGAAACAAGTCAGGAGCACAAAAATGTATGTGCAAGTAGTTATCACAACTTCATCATAAAAGCAAAACCCCGAAAACTACCCAAATGCCCAAAACATTGCAATTTGCTTTAGAAATGATAGTACATCCATACAATGGGATAGGGAGGTTTAAAATAATGATGTGTGGCTGGGTGAAGTGGCTAATGCCCATAATCCTAATACTCTGGGAGGCTGAGGCAGGTGGATTGCTTGAACTCAGGAGTTCAAGACCAGCTTGAACAAGAGCAAGACCCCATCGCTACTAAAAATAGAAAAATTAGCCAGGTGTTGTGGCAAACACCCCTAATCTCAGCTACCTGGGAAGCTGAAGCAGGAGGTTCACTTGAGCCCAGGAGTTTGAGATTACTGTGAATGAGGCTGACACCATAGCTCTCCATCCTGGGGAACTGAGTGAGACTGTCTCCAAAAAAAAAAAAAAAAATGGTGTATGTAATTATTAACACAGAAAGAAATTTGTCATTTATTAGATGGGAACAAGCAGGATTGCAAAACAGTGCCTAGAATAAAAAGGACCCAATTTCTTCAACATAGTAAGGGCCTAAACTAAAATGAAGGGAGAACTATAAAAGATTAAAAGAGGCTGAGGAGACATATTAAACCACATGTACTATGTCTAGATCCTGATTTCAGCAAATCAAGAGCAAAAGGTAAACTTTTAAATAATTAAAATTTGGCATGGACTGATTAAGTGTTAGAGAATATGAAGGCAATATTAGTTTTGGGGGGTATATTTACTTATTATTTAATTGATTTTTTAAAAGTTTTTATCTAAGAGAAAATGAAAAAAACAATAGGTAAAGTACATTCCCATTTATGATTATTACACATGTCCTTGTCTTATATGTGTAGAAGTGCATGGAAGGGGCTGCAGGAAGCCCAGGAATCCACTCCTGCTGCCCCATCACCTCCACTAACAGCTCAATCAATATTGATTGACTCAATGAATCAGTCCCGGAACCAAGAATATGAATTCCCCAGACTCCCCAACCTTGAGAGGCCCAGCAGCCTGTGTGCTGTCACCAGTACCTGGCACCTGGTTCGCTTTTAGTCAATACTTAGGACCCCACCCAACTGGTACTATCAGCGCCAGGGAGGGGGGTATAGGGTAGAGATTTGGGAAGGACCCTACAGAACATCTGGTGGTAGAAGGGGAAGGCTGGCCCATGGACCCCAAAGGACAAAGGGGACACATTGGCTCCTGCAATTCCTTCTTGTGGTCCACTTTTATCCATACCAGATGCTGGTATGAGTCACTTCTGGACTCAATCCCTGGTATTCTGGCCATCTTCCCCTCACGCTTTCCCTAGTGAAACAGTTATGTCTTTTCTCTCCTATTCTGTGTGAAGGAGCCAGAGGTTAGGTGAGGAGGAAGCAGATAGGGCATATTAGATATTTGCCTTTTCCCAGAACTCCCCTCTGCCCCAGAGTTGGTGGAGTCAGAGGTTAGGTGAGGAGGAGGCAGATAGGGCATATTGGATATTTGCCTTTTCCCAGAACTCCCCTCTGCTCATGATGTCCCTGAGATACCTAGGCTCAGGGAACAGATCCATCTAGCCTCACTTACACAGCTAGGGCTAAGGCTAGGCCTGGCTATAGGTGGTAAGGTCTGGTTAGGGCTATCCCTGCATGGTAAGCAGGTCTGCCCCATTCTCGTGCCCCTCCACACACTTAATCCTTCCAAGGACTCAGGGAGCAGCAATGAAGTGGCTTGGTGAAGAGCTCAATGCCCACTGAAGTGCTGCCAAGGCATGAGATGTTCACTGATGAAGCTGCTGCCCCGTCCCTCTCCTCTAAAGCCTTGGTTGAGTCAGACACTGAACTCCTTTCCTGGGCACCTGAAAGTAGGCACAAAGTGTGTAGATGGTGGATGGTGCTCCTGCCAGGACTGCTCAGTGTATCTTCCAGTCAGGAGCTGCGTGGTGGGGGTAGTAGGGTGGGGAGTAGACTTTGTCCTCTCGGTCTGGACTCATCAGGCCAATGAGAGGCAACATGTTGTAAAGGATCTGATGCCAGCATTCCGGAATTCTCCCTAATCCTGGACCAGCCACTAATTTACTGTGCAATTTGCCACGTCACTTCCCCAATTTGAGCATTGGTGTCCTCCCTTGTTAACTTAAGGGTGGTGCTCTAATCTTAAACTCTTTTCTAGCACTTATATTTTCTTTATCTGCAAAATAATCATATGTATTTAGCTTACTGTGAGGATTAGAGAAGATTCATATAAATTTCCAAATCAACAAAACTATATTTGATGCAGAAAATGTGTCACCTTCGAAAATCCTGGGATCCTTCCCTTTGTGAAACAGGTAACCTAAATCCATTCTTTCTTAAATAGGGGCATAAAACGGCAGCAAGAGTCAGGCACCACCAACAGAATTTATTACCCAAAGCAGTTTGAGAGAGTCCAGACATAGGTCACGGGCCTTCTACAGTTACAAGAAAACCAGAACCTCTTTAAACACACCCTTCACCAGCCACTAACGTGAGGGATTAAAGTTACAGCCCAGGTTATATTATGGCTACTACATCCTCATTCTTGATTAACAATCTCAAAGTCACAGTGAGTATAATTTGGATCCAAATTTTACATAGAAAAAAAACCCCAGATTAAAATGAGACAAGTTCACAGATGTATGTATTATTCCAACAGACAGAAAGATATCAAGAGTCTTAACTGAGTATGAGAGGGAGAAGATTTTCTGTTTATAACTAAAATTAAGTCCCAGCTCAGTGGCTCACACCTATAATCCTAAGCACTCTGGGAGGCCAAGGTGGGTGGATTGCTTGAGCTCAGGAGTTCAAGACCAGCCTGAGCAAGAGGAGACCCCATCTCTAAAAAATAGCCCAGCCTTCTGGCAGGTGCCTATAGTTCCAGTTACTTGGGAGGCTGAGACAAAAGGATCGCTTGAGCCCAAAAGTTTGAGGTTGCTGTGAGCTATGACACCATGGGATTCTACTGAGGGCAACAAGAGGAAACTTTGTCTCAAAAAAAAAAAAAAGAAAAAAAAAAAGAAAGAAAGAAAGAAAAGAAAAGAAAAGAAAAAAAACTAGAATTAAATGGAACTATCTGATAATCATCAGAGAGTATGAGCCTAGGAGGGATGCTAATCCTGTGGGGTGGAGAAGCTTTATGAGCCCACCAAACCCTCCTGGGCTAGTCAGAGGCACTATTTAAGGCCTTCTCACAACTGTCCTTAGCCAGCAGCTTCCTGGTTGCCAAGTGATAAAGGAAGGTACCTAAGGGTAGGTGTGTGTGTGAGGGGGGTGTTGGGTGAGATGGTGGCCCTTCACTCAGCAAATGAAATAACACAATTCCCAGCAGTTGAAGAGGAAGCAATCTTTAACGAATGTTGGTAAGTCCCTTCATGATTGCCACATTTGGGGGATGCAAATTGGTTTGATCGCACATAAAATTTTGGTTTTTATTCATTTGATTGGTTTTAAAATTATCCTGGACCAAAGAAAATTAGTTCCTTTTCTTATCCTCCTTTTATTATAAAACCAAATAGCACTTATCTTTAGAATCACTGCACTCTAAACTAAAATTGCTGACAATCCCTCATCCCAGACCCCGAATGACAGATTTTCACAAAAATCAGTTTCTGGGTCACATAAGTCTTAACAAATTTATCTCTTCAGAACTCAGCCCCCATGCGCCTCCTGGCTAGCTGAGGTGGACCCTGGAGCCCAAGAGCTATAGTTCTTCCCTTACTCAAGGAAGGCACACCAGGAAAAAGGGGATTTCCCAGCACCTGCCTGCCAGACACTTGTTTAACTTTGCTCAGAATAAATAGGTCATTCAGGACACAAGTTCCCCAAAATGATCCGTACTTGTATCTTTGAGGAACAACAACTCCTCTGGGTAAGGCTTTCAGGTTTTTTTTGTTTGCTGTTTTGTGTTTTTCTTTTTGAGACAGTCTCAAACTGTTGCCCTGGGTAGAGTGCCGTGGTGTCATAGCTCACAACAACCTCCAACTCTTGGGCTCAAGCAATCCTCTTGCCTCAGTTTTTCTATTTTTTAGTATAGACCAGGTCTTGCTTTTGCTCATGTTGGTCTGGAACTTGTGAGATCAAGCAATCCACCCGCCTTGGCCTCCCAGAGTGCTAGGATTACAGGTGTGAACCACCGTGCTTGGTTTAAGGCTTTCTATTTTTAAAGAATAATTTTAATTATTCTCACCATTCAAAAGAAACTTCAGCATCAAAACCCACACCTACCCTGGCCCAGCCTTTTAGCCCTTCTCCAGTTGTAAGGCTAGAGGTACTGAGTGGGGGTGTGAGGGTGAATCCAATTAACATCAGAGAGTTTGGTCATTGGGGTCACACTTGAGCATAACTTTCAGGCCCAACCCCTTTTTGGATGTTTCAAAAGCTTCCAGAGCTTTCTCCAAAGGAAACCGATGGGTAACTAAGGGCTTTACATTTATAGACTTGGACGCAAGCATTGAAATCGCCATTGGCCACCTGTAAGAGATCACAAGTATTGCATTAGCCTTGAGGATGAAAAATCCGGGTCCCTGAAACTACCAAGCACAAGATCAGCTTTTTATAACCTATTTATAGTACTGTGATTCTGCAAAGTCAATTTTACAGACCAACAATGGAGGAAGGGACCTCATAGCTTGCAACTCAGGATATAGATCCTGCTTGTAATCGCCCCCATCCCTCACTTGGCCATATCTACTATGAAGCCTATAATTTCTTTGGCCTGAAGGCATGTTGTGGAGGCCACTGAGAAAAGGCAGACAAGCTGCAGGGAGGCAGCACAGGGTAATCTAGCCATACCCATTGGCAGCTCTGCTTGGCAGATTTTGCCGGAAAACTGGTGCTATGCTGAGAGCATGGTGATACAGACTCTAAAGGTGGGAGTAAGAGACGCTGCTAGGAGAGATGTCCCAGACAGAGGGCCCCAGCAGGGGGAGGATGGAGCTGCAGAACATGGGTGGGGTGAAGTAAAACCACTGGGCTCACCTAGGGGGCCCTCAGGCTCAGGAATGGGGGCCATAGGACTTGATTTTTCCCTCTAAAGGGAGAAAATGGAGACTAGGCTACTTAAGGAAATGGAAAAAAGAGAGGCCAAGTGATGAGCGGAAGACCCTTAATAACACCATCTTCAAACTCGCTCTCCCCCTCTATCCGGCCCTCTCTCTGTCTTTGTGTCTCTCTCATTCTTTAACTAGGAGTAAATGTTCTCTCTCTGGATCCCTATCATATCACAGGGCTGTCAGTGTGGCCAGGGAGTGACCTTCACGAATAAACAAGCAGAGACTTTTGGTCCCAAAGGCAGTGTGGGGCCTGCCCTGGTCTGGCTGGAGGCTCGCCACCTGGGCTCACCCACAACATACTCACGTGTTGCAGTATCGAAACACGCCCTTGATATCCACCTCCCGGATGGCTGCATGCAAAAGGGGTACAGTGGCCATCTCAGAGCCCATCCCCACAAGCACCAGGGTCCCACCGGAACGAGTAGCCTGAAGAGGTGGTCAAAACAAGCAACCCCCCCCCAAAAAATTTTAAAAATATAGTCATATTCAACTTTCCTTGCATTCAACCAATAAATATTTACTTACATGTAAAAAACAAAACAAAACAAAACAAAAAAGCAAACCCAAAAGATAAGAAAACCCAGACTTCCCACTCATAATAACATACTATTGTTACACAAATGCCTTCTAGTCACATCTGCTTGGTATCCAAAAATTCCAGAGAACAGGATTCTTGCTATAGCACTAAACTCTTCAACAGGTCAACCAAACTCACCAGAGCAGCAGAGTAAACATTATCTTCTTAAAGATTTGAAATAATACACTTGATCAATAGAGAACCAGGCCCAGTGGCAGCATCTTCCAAAGCTTTACAAATTCAGTACCAGTTACCATCTTCAGCCACTTCCACATCTCAGCATCTGTTCTTCCTCTGGACGCCCCTCTGCAAACCCCTAAGGAGCCACCCTCTTAGCTCACCAGTGGTGGAAAAACTATTGAGCATCATACAAATGGGGAGGGCTATTGGAATTCCATAGTTTAAAAATGAATTTTATGGGCAGGTTGGCAGTTAGAAATATTTTTGTTTTCAGCCAGGCATGGTGGCTCATGCCTATAATCCTACAGTGTAATCCTACACTCTGGGAGACCGAGGAGGGTGGATTGCTTGAGCTCAGGAGTTCAAGACCAGCCTGAGCAAGATTAATACTCTGTCTCTACTAAAAATAGAAAAGCTAGCCAGCATTGTGGCAGGTACCTGTAGTACCAACAACTGGGAGGCTGAGGCAAGAGGATTGCTTGAGCCCAAGAGTTTGAGGTTGTGGTGAGCTGTGACGCCAGGGTACTCTACCCAGGGCAAGAGTGAAACTCTGTCTTAAAAAAAAGAAAAAAAGAAATATTTTTGTTTCATCCCGATCATAATGGATTGTCTTCCTGGAATGTTTATCTGCCTTATCAGTTCCCTCCTTGGAGTGGGTCAGAGGTGGCAGTGAAATTTCTCCTGATAATTTCCACATAATTCCATGTAAATGTTGTGCCTGCTCTAGAGTGTTCTGGGATCACTGTGCTCGATGTTGTGAGAGACAGAAAAATGGATAGTTCATTCAGGCTAAGTTTTTATTATAGTTAGAAGCAGCACCGAGCACTTATTAAATCTAAGGGCCTTAGAAAAGTAAGAGCTAAATGGTGCAGCTACAAAAAGGCACCCATCACAGCCACCATCTCTGAGAAGAATAATACACCATGGGGTGAGCCCTGCAGTGCTGTGAGTAAGAGGAGGCAGAACTCAGGATTTGAGTAGTGTGGGGATGGCCCTGGCATTGAGCTGGGGTACCTAGAGTTCTAGGGAAACTGTTTCCCTATCAGCACTGCCTCTTGACCTGTGGAAGAGGAAGAACACCACCAACTGACCAACCCAAGCTGCCACATCAGAATGCTCAGGTCAAGGAATGCTCATTCTACTGGGCCATCATCCAGTGGGTGTGATCTCTGCACCAAGGAGATGACGACATAAGTTCTACCCCAAGGCATCTGTCACGTCTCCTCACAAACACTATCCAGTTATGACCTGGCAGGAGGGTGATGCCCAGATATGTCCATATTTGGTGCCACTGCTGACCTGTCCCTTGGTGGGCTGGAGCATTCTACGGCACCTGTCACGCATGACAGCTCCACTCCTCACGTCAGGAGAGACACTATTTCAGGCCCAGTGAGGCCCTTGGGTCACATTTACCTCCACGCCCACCTCAGGTAGCCTGGCAACCAGACACCCACTACCAACAGCAGGAAACGCCAACTATTCCAAAATCTTTAAAGGAAGGGCAGAAGAGGAAGGAAAACTTCATCCTTTAAGCACTTTAGCTTATGCAGCTCTCTGTGAAATGGAAGTCACTGACCTGCCTAACAACAACTTGAACAAAGTAGGTACACCTCGCTTGTTGCCACAGTCCTTAAAATGCCCAGCTCAGAACCTGGCACACAGCAGGCACCTATGAGATACCATGGGTAGATGTGTCATACACAGACCCACCATCCCTCTCTGAATTTTGGGTTCTCTTTGCTCTTTCCCACATGGTGGCCACTGTCTCTGACAGCAGGCAGAGGGCTGGCTGACTCCTGCTGAAACTCAGGACAGGGCCAAAGCGTCACCTGTTCCCCCACCTCACTACTTCCTCAGCCCCTGGTGTCACTGGGCACCTTGATAGGAGGAAGACAGGCAGGTTGGCTGGGTGCCAGGCTTGAGGGTGTGCCACGCAACTTGAGGGCCAGTGTGCCCAGCTGGCCTCAGGTGCTGCGGACTGTCCTTGCCTGTGAGCCAGTTGTGACTCAGAAGGAAGGAGGAAGCCTGTGCTGCTGCGTGATGCTGTCTGGGAGGCAGGGGTGGGAGTCCCCTGTAGTGATAGCTGCCTGCTACCTTCCCTGCCCAGCCCTTCCCACCCTTGCACAGTTGTGGTTTGGGTACACCTCCTAAGCAGCAGGATAGCTGGAGAAGCTCAGGCCCTGGGCCAGGCAGGGCTAGGCTTGAACCTAACTCCACTTACTGCGGTTTGCTCAAGGCAGAGGCAAAGTCATGGTGACTTACCTGAAGCAAACCACAAATGATAACTGATTTTCAGGGCTATTGTGCAGATTAGGTATCATATTTGCAAAGTGCTCAGCAAAGCCCCTGGCGTGTAGTACGACTCAGAGCCTAGAAATTATCCTTTTTCCCTTCCTTTCTCCATACTTTAATCTGTTAGTGCCACTCCCTGTTCCCATCCCCAACTCTCCGACAACTTCCCAGAAATTGCTGGTGGGCGGTTGAGGGGAAATTCAGGCGCTGGCAGCTTATCTAATCCTAGCTATGGGAGAGAGCAGGGCAGTAGCCAAGAGTGACCTTGAAAAATCACCTCACTTTTGTGACTAACTAGCTTTCGCTTCATATAATGACTCAAAGAGTGCAGTTTTCCTCAATAAAACAAGAAGGGATTTCCCACATTCAAAGAAGGCATGGTTCTCTGTTCTTTCTGCTTATCATCTTAACAAAAGTGATAACTACACTTTTATGATCACAGATATGATTATGAAAGCAACTGCATCCCAAAGGCACACCTTTGGGTCACTTAGCATTTTTCAAGGACCACATATATTTGTTACCCTGTTTGAACCTCCAGATGATATAATAAGGATGTAAGGCACACAAGAAATAAGAAAACAGAGATGCTAAGAGAAGAACTGAGTTAATTCTGCTTGGTCACAGGATGCCTTACTTCTTCCCTGTCCACTCTCCGGCTCTGGCTCCCCCATGCTGCCCTTGTCCTACTCACATAGATGCCCGTCTGGATGGAGGCCTCCGCCCCGGTGCATTCAATGGTGACTTCCGGCTTGCACCCCAACAGACCTTCCACTTTGCTGGCAGTGTCCTGAGGGTTCTCCTTGGAGACCTGGAGGACTAAATCAGCCCCCACTTCCTTGGCTTTGGCCAACCGAGAAGCAGACAGATCTAAAGGTGAAAAAAATTTTCCTTTGAACCAAGAAACTGATGACCAATCCGCAATAAAGCTCTGGTGCCATGAGTGGTGTCATTGAGCCGAACACTCATATTCTTACACTCTCACATACTGCCACACGTACTGCACAGCTACACCAACACATGCACACACAGAGATAACGAGTCCTCACGCAAAACATGCACATCCTCCCACATCCCCACAAACCACACAACACTGCTCACCCCACTTGTTCTCACAGGTAACTCCTTGCACGCACATGCTCACACTGCTCTCACATCTCCCACCCATACCACACAACACCTCACACAAAGATACCCCCTGACATGCATATTACACACACCACCACCTCCCCAACACACACAAACACACCAGGGATGAGCCTCCTCTTAGGACCAGGGGGTAGTTTGGGCTGCTGAGGACCACCCACAATGAGCCACTGTGGCCTCTTTTCCACAGCAGTCAGCCCTGCCCTTCTCAAGAGAGCCTCATCCTGAGCCTTGAGTTAGTCAGCCCCTGAGTGGCCTTTTCAACCCCAGGACCCAGGGTGAAGGAGAAATTGCCCCTTTAGAAACCTAGGACCTCATGGCCCTGACCCAAACTGTAGGTCCTGTTGCTTCCCCCTCAAGGAGATTTACAATGAAGAAAACCTTACCAGTCACCACTACTTGAGCTGCTCCCATTGCTTTGGCCACAAGCAAATTGACCAGCCCTATTGGCCCTAAAGAAAGAAGAAAATGGGACATGTTTGTGAAATCTGAATCATCTGCTCTCCCCCTTGTCCGGGTCGTATCTTTTGTATGTCTCTAGCATCTATCCCAGTACCCAGAAGAAAAAGACCTTAGCAAGTGCTCACAGAATGCAGAACAGAATGAATGTGTGAGGAATCATTCTCTCCCCAAACATGCTCCTAGTGCCAGCTTGTGTTTAAACCTCTCAAACTTAAGAACTAGAAAATTTCTACTTGGAGAATAATCTCAAAGAACCAGAGGATTCAAGAAAATATATACTTATTCAGAGAATAAGAAGTCTCAGAGCCAGGCCACATTTTCCTGTTTTCTCTTTGAATCCCACCTTTCTGAGAACCTGTCACACCTCCCCAGGGAGAGACATACTTTCTAGGTGTCCAGTGAGGATCGCCCTGGAGGGTGCCGTGAAGTGAGCTGGCTCCTTGGGTTGATCCAGCTGCCTGGGCAGCTTCAGGATCCCCAGGTGTCCAAGAATTAGCCTGAAACCATCTGCTTCCCCACAATGTCCATGTGCTAGATGACGCTATGGTTTTAATATGAAAACCAGAACACATTTGGGGATTTGCTTTTTGTACACACCCCTTGAAAACAATTTTGTAAGTTCTCCCAGAACACAAAACACTGGAAAATAATGCTTGAAATGTCCAAAACAGGGTGATTAGTTAAAAAAAAAAAAAAAACTACATTGGGCCTCAGCACCTGTGGCTCAAGTGGTAAGGCGCCAGCCACATACACCTAAGGTGGTGGGTTCGAATCCAGCCTGGGCCTGCCAAAACAACAATGACAGCTACAACCAAAAAATAGCTAGGCGTTGTGGTAGGCACCTGTGGTCCCAGCTACTTGGGAGGCTAAGGCAGGAGACTCTCTTGAGCCCAGGAGTTGGAGGTTGCTGTGAGCTGTGGTGCCATAGCACTCTACCCAGGGGGATAGCTTGAGGCTCTGTCTCAAAAAAAAAAAACAACTACATTGGAATACTACACAGTTATTAAAAATTATGCCATTACTCTGTGATCTTCCTGTCTCAGCCTCCCAAGTAGCTGGGACTATAGGCACATGCCACCACACCTGGCTAATTTTTCTATTCTTCACAGAGATGGGGTCTCACTACGTTGCCCAGGTTGGTCTCAAACCGCCGAACAAGCAATACTTCTGCCTCTGCCTCCCAAAATGTTGGGATTACGCGTGTAAGCCACTGCGCCTGGCTCTAAACCAAAATACTGACAGTAGTTCCCTCAGGCTAATGGTGATATGTGTGTATGTGTGTACATGCTTGCATATGTATGGTAGGTATGATTTTTTAAATAGTTTCCTTTTCTATGGGAAAAAGGCACTATGTATGCATTTGGGTTTTTTTTGAGACAGAGCCTCAAGCTGTCACCCTGGGTAGAGTGCCATGGCATCACAGCTCACAGCAACCTCCAACTCCTGGGCTCAAGCAATTCTCCTGCCTTAGCCTCCCAAGTAGCCGGGAGCATAGGCACCCACCACAACGCCCAGCAATTTTTTTTTTTTGGTTGCAGCCGTCATTGTTGTTTGGCGGGCCAGGCTGGATTCGAACCCGCCAGCTCAGGTGTATGTGGCTGGAGTCCCAGCTGCTTGAGCCACAGGTGCTGAGCCTATGTGTTCATTTTTTAAGACTGACACTCGAGTCTTGTAGTCTACTCACTCAATGAGGCAAGTCTGCTCCACATCCTACACCCTTCTTAGGAAGCCTTGTAATTACTTACTTGACAAAGAAAATCATTTACAGGGGACTATAAAGGACACCAGATCACACCCACAGGGGGTGTGAGTATACTGTCTGGGTCACCAGCAGTTAGAAGCCGAGAATGATTCTGTCTAAGGCCATGAGGATCTGCTCCAGGTGGCTGGAAACAGGTAGAGATGGCAGCTCTCTACACCCCTGTTGCAGGCAGAGGGACAGCTCATGGACTGTGCACTTCCCTTGCTCAGGAAAGGAGCGAGGTCTACCTCATGCATGGATGGGACTAGGCCATTCACTTCTCTGGTATGATATTAAACATCAAAGCTCCCAAAGTTTTCCTTCTCTTTATTATCAAAAATATTTCCCTAGTTTCCTGTCAAGGGTTAACAAATAATCACAAGACTCATTCTTTAAAAGAACAAATGTGTTATGTTGCCCAGAAAATGTATTATCAGCCACTATCATATCTGCAGATATTTGTTTATTTAGCTGAGTGCTGGCTACTAAGGGAACAGGACATTGTAATCCTCCCCTCCCCAGGAGGATTCTAGAACCAATCCTAGCCCTTGGAAGGGGAATGTGCTGGGCAGAGGGGTCCCCATATTCCCAGTCAAAGACTCCATAGCCAGGAGTCTGTTTCTTACCAGCTCCACACACAAGGACCTTGTTCCCCAGAGTGACTCCACCTCGCTTGCAGGCATGGATTCCCACAGACAGTGGCTCAATCAGGGCCCCTTCCTCATAGGTGACATTGTCAGGAAGCCTGAGAGTCATTCAATACACATGATTAGATCCTCTGAGTTAATGTAATACAATAGTGTCACATTGCACATCCAAGGTTACTACTTTGTATAACAAATTGAGCATTTATGTGTGGGGCAATGTGGTAGGCAATTTACATACATTCACTCTTTTAAATCCTTAGAACAGTTTTATCGTAGGTGCTATCATTCCCATTCTACAGATGAAGAGACTAAAGCTCAGTGAATTAAATTACTTGATGCAAATGTTCAAAGCTAGTGAGGGGCCCAAAGGGTTCGAAGTAGAAGCCAAATATGTCATATTCCAGAATTCATGTCACACTGTCCCCCTCTGAAAACAGCTTTCTTTGGAAAAATCGCTTCAGTGAACGTAAACACATTATGTTTCCTTGAATGTGCTATCCAAGCTAAAGTATGGTGGTTGTCATTAATAAATGAAAAGTCCATTTAACATGGAGTTAACATAGCCACATTCCAGCATCTCATCTGCTCCTCAGTCCTCAAACTTACAGCCTTTCTTGTTTCCCTTAGGCAAACAATCGCAACTATCAGCAGCTTTGCACAGGGCGATTTAGCAGCAGGCACCCTCTGTGTATCGTCCCCATATTATACATTCCAGAAGAACACACCTGATGACGATGGCTGCCTAGCTGTCCCAGCACTGGTTAAGATGGGGAGAGGGCCCATTCCATATAGCTGATGAAGTGTGGTGTCACCTTCACCACTGGGTTCTAGGTTTTCGCTTCCACTGGCTTCTCGACCCTACCAACAATCCCACTGGTGATGACAGCAAACATCTGCATATCCCTTTACAGATTAGAGAACATTCTCGTCTTTTATCTCATTAACTCCTTACGACCCTGTTGGGCAGGAAGGGCAGGCTTTATTTTTAACTAATATTACAGAAGAGAAAACTGCAGCCCAATGACATTAGGAGCTCTGTGGAGGTTATGAAGCTAAGGAGCAGGAAAGCAGGACTTGAATCCACGTCTCCTGATTCCACCTCCTCTGCCCACATCAGCTGCTTCTTGGTACAGGCAGATCTGTGTAGCTAATATCTAGTTCCTGCTAGTTCCTCATTGCCTGGTGTTTCCCTGGTGGCCCCCCAACCTCCATACTCAGAGACGTGGAAACCCTCAAGTTCTAAAGAGCAATAAAGGTGGGAACCAACCCATGTGCTCATCTCCATAATCCTTTTGCCACTGTTTCCAATGTTTAACAGTAAAACTCACAGGGTCCTCCTGTCACTGTCCCCCACCCTAGCTAAAATAACTCCTAAGGCCTTCAGTGGCCTGGTGGTCACTACCTTATTCTCCCTTAAACTCTGCTTCTCTCTCATCACTTCCTCCTCTCTAATTCACAACCCTTCTACTCACCCTGCAGGCATCAGTTCTACATAAGGGAAAAAGCTTAAAATGAAATTATGAAGATTCCCAAACTCTCTCCAGGGCCCCTGCCACAAGCTGCCAGACACTTCCGCCCCTCTATATCAGGCCTCCCGAGGAGCCTCTGATGGCTCTCAGTTAAGGGCAGCTTTTGAATTGCACCAAGGAGAGGTAGGATTGAGCAAGGTGACAGAGAATGGGCTTTTTTCTTTTCCTTTTCTTTCTTTTTTTTTTTTTTTTTTGAGGCAGAGTTTCAAGCTGTTGCCTTGGGTAGAGTGCTTTGGGTCACAGCTCATAGCATCTTCAAACTCCTGGGCTCAAGCGATTCTCTTGCCCTAGCCTCCCAAGTAGCTGGGACGACAGATGCCTGGCACAACACCCAGCTACTTGTTGTTGTCATTGTTGTTTTAGCTGGCCAAGGCTGGGTTCAAACTCGCTGGCCTCGCTGTATGTGGCCAACGCCCTACCCACTGAGCAATGGGTGCCGCCCAAGAGTGTTGTTATCTGGGAGAGTATTCTCTCAAGTCAGCAGATGCTGCCTCATCCTCCCTGTACCCAACCATGTGGGAAAGCCACCCAGCAAGGAGGCGGGAATGGGGATGAGGAGTACTGAGGTCTCTCTGCCACTGATCTTAGCAGTCACTGGGTTCTCCCTCCCCAAACTTGACCAGTAGGAGAGGACTCTAAGTGTCCTCTCAGCCCTAACCTTCCATGACTTTATAAACAGCAGGGAAGACAAGGCAACTTGGTGGTTTTTACAGTAGTGTTCAGGGAACAGGCAAAAGGAAGTAAAGGATGCTCAAGAAGCCAAGGGGGAAGCAGAAAGAAAGAAAATAGGTAAGGCCGGACGCAGTGGCTCATGCCTATAAGCTCAGTGTTCTGGGAGGCAGAGTCCAGTCAGGAGGATGACTTGAGGCCAATTCAAGGTTACAGTAGGCTATGATGATGCCATTGCACTTCAGTCTGAGTGAGAGAGTGAGACCCTGTCTCTTAAAAAGAGAAGAAAGAAAGAACAGGATTGGTAGGTAGGAAAACAAGGAGGCTGCGTAGGAATCCTTAGAATGAGATCAGAGAGGAGGGCTTGGGTTCCGGGCTGGCCAGGGACATGGGCAGAAAATAACCTGGTGAGGAGAGGAGGGAGGGTTGCACAGCCCCCAGTCCCTCCTTGGTCGCCATCATCCTTCCCACTATTATTGCCAACCAGAATATCCACCCTCCACTCCTGACCCTACCACTGTTCCTGCAAACTGCCAGCACAAGGATCCTTTTCAAGCATAATCCTCCCGTACCCACCCAGATCATAAGACCATGGCTATGACAGAGCATGGTACCATTTATTAAGCACCTACTATATGCTAGACCTCATGCTGGCTACTTACTATGTCTTTTTTTTTTTTTTTTGAGACAGAGTCTCACTAGGTTGCCCTCCGTAGAGTGCCATGGTGTTATAGCTCACAGCAACCTCAAACTCTTAGGCTTAAGCGATTCTCTTGCTCCCAGGTAGCTGGGAGTACAGGTGCCTGCCACAAGGCCCAGATATTTTGTGTTGTTGTTGTTGTTGGAGTTGTCATTGGTTAGCAGGCTGGTTTCTAAGCCGCCAGCCTCAGCTGGCACTGTAACCACTGTGCTACAGACTCTGAGGCTTAATATGCCTTCTTCATTGAATTTTATCAATAATTGTGTGAGGGAGGTGTTGTTATTACCTCTATTTCACAGGAAAGGACATTAAGGTTACAAAATTTAAGTAACTTGCACAAGGTCACATAGTTGTAAATGGCAGAGACCAGTGGTTTCTTGGGCTTTACCATGATGCTCTTCTGCCTTCTGTGAAGATGCTGTTTGGTGACTTGACTAGGAAAGGGCCAGAAAAAGATGGGCTGATTCAGGAACCACTTGCTGAAAGGTAGACTCTGCCCACATAACCTGCTTTCTTTTAGAGCAAGTTCAAGTGTTCACTTAAACACTTCACAAGGTCTCTGGCCTGTGACTCCTCTCAAGGCTTCCAGTGGGCACTAGGAAAACTCAGATCTATCAGACTGCTCCTGTGACTGGCACTTGGCCTCTATCAGGCAAGCCCCACTGTGGCTGACAGTCGCCATCAGTGCCAGACTGGGGTGGGAAGAAAGCACACCTGGGTCTGGTAAGAGGGAGCACAGCACATCAGCACTCCAGAGCTCCACAGCTGAGCCCACACAGATGGTGCGGCACTTTGCTCCTTCCAGACACAACTTCACCCCAAAACTGTTTCAAGGAGAGAGTGAGAAGGGTAAGAGAGTGGGCACAGGGCAGGAGATTAAGAATCAGACAGAACCCAGTTTGACTCCTGGTTGCTCTCTGTGCCTGAGTCAACTGGCCTCCTTCTGCCTCCGTTAACCCTTTCAGAAAACTGCAGGAATGGTGCCTACCTCACCATTATTTTGTGAAGGTTAAATAAGATAAGACGGGCAAAGCACTGCTTAGCATAAGGGCAGGCATGTGGTAATAATCATTACGACTTTACCTGCATTGCCTTATTTAATAGTCTGGTAGTTACATGAAAAGGAAGCAGAGGAAGGTTAGATCATATCCCCCAAGTCACTAGTTAGGAGCGATGGATTCAGGGTCCCAGAGCTCACATCCTGGCACCATACTGTGCCTCTCAGTAATCCACAGTCTTGCTATCACCATGTGTTATCACTGTTGAGGACATTGTTGTTGTCAATTCCCTCTCTGGTGGCTGCAGTGGAAACCAACAATGGAGGGTGAACCATGGTGATGTCTCTCCAGGATGACTGGAAAGAGTAACTTCAGCAACAATTTTTTATTATTGCTCTAGGTGAGGGAAAGTTGGACTGAAAGACCAAAATCAATTCCTGTGAGTCAGTATTATTCCTATCCCTTATCCCTCCATCAATGCCTCCAAGAAGGACCACCTGCTGAGGGGATGCTTTGAGTTTGGAATTATGAGCTAAAAAGACTAATGAAATCACCATGGGAAACTATAAGAAAGTTCATCAACAAATGGAGGGAAAGAGGTGGCCCAGCTGGGCCATGGGCACTGACTTGTAGCAGAAGTCTGCGTTGTGCTTGTAGAACCGGCAGAGATTTCCATCATCAGGAGGGGTGGCACAGAAGAAGACGGATGGCGAGAGGTTGTACCGGCCAATCTTGGAGAATTCGTCGTTTTTTCGGGGAACCCCAGGCTCAATGGCCACACGATCACCTGGGGAGGAAACCAAGATGCTATCTATGTCTGAGGGTGGGAGCAGAGCCTGCTAACTCCTTCCCCGCTTCTGGTTCTCTATTTTCTAACCTTTAGAAACAAGAGTAGAGGTGAAGACACTGTGAGGGCATTGACACTCATGGCATGAGTAAGGCCATGTGGCAGATGGGAGAATCTAGTGGCTAGAGTCTAGCCCAACAAGCTCCCTCCTTCTTAGAGGGACTTGGTGCCCCAGGCAAGCAAGGAAGCCCTGGAGCCTCACAGAACAATGGTCCAGGGGAAAAGGACCAACCCACTTCCTCATAGTCAGCTTTGCTCTGCCCTTTGTCCAACTGAGCAACAAGACAGCCCACCCCTCCAGGTCCACAGCCACTTCCCAGCTTGGGAAACACAGAACCAGTTCCATCTCAAGGGCAAGCCAGGAGGTTTAACTGTGCACTCTCTTCTGTACTGCTACTAGGGCCCTCCTGCACCTGAGGGTATAATAGTAACTCATTTTATTGTATTTATCATTATGATAATTATTTGAACTGATGTTATTGTAGAGGAAATTCAAACTTTAAGACAGAGAGCCAGACTATTTCTAAACTGGGAATATTCCGTGCCTTAGACTTATTGATTTCTATGTTTCAATTGAACACTAAGAAATGCTCAATGAGGGCGGCGCCTGTGGCTCAGTGGGTAGGGTGCTGACCCCATATACCAAGGGTGGCGGGTTAGAACCCAGTCTCAGCCAAACTGCAACAAAAAATAGCCGGGCGTTGTGGCAGACACCTATAGTCCCAGCTATTCGAGAGGCAAGAGAATCACCTAAGCCCAGGAGTTGGAAGTTGCTGTGAGCTGTGACGCCACGGTACTCTACCAAGGGCAACAAAATGAGACTGTCTCTAAAAAAAAAAAAGAAGGAAAAGAAAAGAAATACTCAATGGGTAGTTTTCTTCTTTCTACTTTAGTTGATTAGAACTTTAAGATGTTAACATGTAACACACTTGAAGCAAAAATTTTGTATTCTAAAAAAAAGTACATACAGAAATCCTCTGACTCCCTCTACTTTATCTTCTGCCTAATGAACTTTCAGCAAATTATACCCATACTGGGGGTGAGAGACCTGTGACCTTAAGGCCACATGTGACCTTTTAGGTCCTGAAGGCTGCTGTCTGAATCTAAATTTTACAGAACAAATCCTTTTTTTTTAAAAAAAATATATTTTTATTCACCTTTTATATTTTTATTTTATTTTTTAAATGAATGTATTTAAAATACCAAAGAAAAAAATTAAGTTTCAACAAGATAATGCTCCCAGATTGACCAGCACAATTAGCACATTAGTAAGCTTTAAGAGCTGTTATGTTCATGATTTACCATATTTTGCTGTGTATAATGCACACCTTTTGCCCAAATTTTTAAGGAAAAAATAAGCATGCACATTAAACAAGGGTAGTAATGGCTCAGGGAATGGGGAACCCAGTGGGCCTCCTGAGACCACCATGCCCTCCCACCTGGCACATGGAGTCTCAGTCCAAAAGGATCTAGAATCCAGTGTGAGCAGACTAGAGGAGGCTCTGCTGAGTGCCATGATGAGCTGGGCGGCAGCAGGGCTGGTGAGGAGGGCCATGTCCATGTGGGGTGAGGGACAAGGCCCAAAGCCTGGTTGTGTGGAGGGGACTGGGAGCCCCACGCAGGCCCCAGGGTCCTGCTTGGCTGCTGTAGGTCAAGCAGCCTCAGAACCTCCCACCCTACCAGCCATGCATGTGGCCATCTCAGCTGTGGCCCCCAACATGGTGGGGAGAGAAGAGCTCCCCAGGGAGAAGGGGCAGCTTTCACAGAGCAGACAGCTACGGGAGGGGGGGGTGCCATCTACATGTTTATCAGAGGAGCATTAGTCCTCCCCAGATATGCCTCCCTGCTGAGAGTTAGCCACTTTCTTGAGGGGTATTTTCCTGAAAGTTTGGGCCAAAAACATGGTGTGCATTATACATGGCAAAATACGATAGTTTTAACTTCCCCCACTTGACTGGTGCTACTACTGCAGGAGGGTGGCTGGTGAGAGTTTATGGAGGTCAAGTACACTAATCTGTTATCAGCTTTTGACAGCAGTGTACTGTGTTTCTGTTTGAAGTGGAATTTGTGAATAGTTGCACAGCTTGGCAGTATTTTTTAATTGCCTGCTTAACAGTCCATTACCTCAAAGAAGAGAATGCTGAAGGAAAATAGATTTTTTTTTGAGACAGAGTATCATTTTATCACCCTCAGTAGAGCGCTGTGGCATCACAGCTCACAGCAACCTCCAATTCCTAGGCTTAGGCGATTCTCTTGCCTCAGCCTCCCAAGTACCTGGGACTACAGGTGCCCACTACAACACCCGGCTATTTTTTTTTGGTTTGCAGTTTGGTCGGGGCCAGGTTTGAACCCTCTACCCTCGGTATATGGGGCCAGCACCTACCCACTGAGCCACAGGCGCTGCCGGAAAATAGATTTTGTAAGGAGGATTGGGAGCTGCTATACTATCTTGTTTCTGTTAAAGATGAGATGATTTGCTTGCTTTTGATGCTGTAATATCAACATTAAAGAAATGTAATGCTCATCAGCATTATTAACACTCATAAGGATCATAAATATTTTAAACTGGAGGGAAAGGCATGAAAGGTTGTATTGAATTAAAAGATGAAAAGAAAAAGCAAAGATAATTCTTATAAGCAGCAATAATACCTGGAAATAATGCCACAAAAGCAACTATAAAGCAGCTAATATACTGGAGAAAAAAGGGAAGCCATTCAGTAATGTGGAAATTATGAAAGAATGCGTTGCTGAAATTGTAGGCTGTTTAGACCCTAATAACATTTCAAAGTACAAACAACTGCCTCTTTCAAGGAAAACCAATAACTGATCAACAGCATGAACTAGCCTTTAACTTAACAGAACAACTTCATGCCAATACTTCAAAAGGAAAACATATATTATTCGCTTTGGGTGAATCAACTAATGCTACTGACTTGGCACAGGTTTTATACTTCATTTGGGTCATAACAGAAGATTTTCTTTGCTACAAAGAGTTACTTGCTTTGGGCACTCTTGCAAACAGAATATGGGTAATAGATTATTTTCAATAACTTTCAAGATAAACATCATGAAGTTGGACAGAATTTGGCAAATCTAGTGAATGTATGTACAGACAGTGTACCTTCAATGACAGGAAAACATGAAAGGTTCATTACACAGATTTTTAAAAAGTATCAATGGATACAGATGGCGTTATTTCTTTTCATTCCATCTTGCATCTACAAAATCTGTGGGAAGGCTACCATTTTAAGTGACACTTTGCAACAAGTTATCAGTATCATTAACTGTACTCATGCAAATGCAATAGGGCATCAGGACATACTAAAGTTGAAAGCGAGGTATTCGGCAAGGATTTGCCATATCATTCTAAAATGCATTGGCTATCCCAGGGACAGGCGTTAGCCAAAATTTTGTCTCTAAAAAAAATTATCTCTGTGAGAACAAACAATTATTATTATCATTATTTTAGAGACAGTGTCTCAGTTTGTCACCCTCAGTAGAGTGCCGTGGCATCACAACTCACACCAACCTCTAACTCTTGGGCTTAGGGGATTCTCTTGCCTCAGTCTCCCAAGTAGCTGGGACTACAGGCACCTGCCACAATGCCCGGCTATTTTTTTTTGTAGCAGTTTAAGTCAGGGCTGGGTTCAAACCCGCCACCCTCGGTATATGGGGCTGGTGCCCTACTCACTAAGCCACAGGTGCCGCCCCAGACAGTTAAATTTTATGAAGAATAGAATCAGCAATGTGATTATTGAAATATTTCCATAGAAACGCAGCTTTTCTGTGTGAGATCATATCAAATCATAATGACTCCAGTATTTCTTTGTAGTTGTCATTGTTTTAGCAGGCTCAGGCCAGGTTCGAACTCAGCAGCCCCGGTATGTGTGGCCACTACATCTATATATGACATGTGGCAAAAATCTAAGCATTTTGAAAAAAGCCATCTTTTCCCCCAAACATTACATCTTCAGAAGCAAAAAAATTTTTTTTCTTTCTTTTTTTTTTTTTTTTAAGAGACAGAGTCTCACTTTATCACCCTCAGTAGAGTGCCATGGCATCACACAGCTCACAGCAACCTCCAACTCCTGGGCTTAGGCGATTCTCTTGCCTTAGCCTCCCGAGTAGCTGGGAC